ATAGTCTGTTAGCTGGGCTTATTCCTCTCTTCTGTGTATATTTTTTCTGCTGGGTTATAATTCTTTGAGCCTGCTTAGGGCATGTAAAGTTTTTGGAGTCTGCTAGTCAAGGTTGGCAGCCATTCTTTTAGAATTTGGAGTATGTTACTTCAGCCACTTCAAAGTTTCCACTGAGAAATCTTCCTGGTTATTCCATTGGGTGTGACTTGTGTCTTTTTCTCTTGTAGCTTTGAATACTCTTTGTATATTTAGTGTTTTAACTATAATACGCCTTGGGGATTTTCTTTTCTGGTTTTGTCTGTATGAAGTCCTATGTGCTTCTTGTATCTGCATGGGTGAATCTTTAATTACTTGTGTGAGATGGGGTGTTTCCTTCTGTGACTTTTTTGAAGATCTGAACCATGCCATTAACCTGGGATTCTTCTCCCTCATCTATGCACATAATTTGGAGGTTTGGTCTTTTCATGTTCCTTTCCTGTGCTTTTTATCTTTTCATAATCTTTGCTTGTACTGTCAAATTCCTCTACTTTATCTTCAAGTCTTAATATTTTAAGTTTTCTAGTTTAGTTAGATTTTTCAAGTGCATGTTTATTTCAAGTTCTCTTCAATATTTGTCTTTATTGATTACAGTTTTCAAATCCTAGATGATCATTTCATTCAGCCTAATGTGATTTTTAGGAATCACTCAGGGGTTTAAACTTCTTGAATTCTTTGATGAAGCTTATGATTGTATTTTCAAATTCTGTGTCCTGGGGTTTTCATCTATGTAACTGTCACTAGAGATCATTTCTATAGGACTGGTGGGTTTGGGCGGGGTATACTGTCTTGATCTTTCCATTTTGGGAGGGATCTGAAGCCTGTGGACTTTTTAGGTCTGTGTCTGATATGGGCACAGCAAGCTGTGTGTGTTGAAGTCAGATGGACACAGGGGGCTGGGATAGTGAGCAGGATCTATGTCCTGATCCCAAGCTTGGAGGTTAGGGGTGGTGTGGGTGGGTCTCACCAGACTATGCCACAGCAGTCGGTATGTGTTTCTGAACTAGATTTAGAAAGGCACATACAGGCGAAACTCTAGTCTTCTTATACTAGGCTAGGTCCTGCTATAAGATGTATGGTGCCAGACCAGCCTGGGTGGAATGGGGTGGGGAAGAGTCCAAATTCTTTGGCCAGTAGTAGAGGTGCAAGTGGGATCTGTACCTTAAGGTAGTGAGTGGGAAGTCCTGCTTTTCACATTCTCAGAGGAGGGAGTAAGGAAGGCCGGATCTTGGTTGGTGAAGTGTTTCCCTAGAATGTGTGAGGAGGCCCTAAATCTGATCCCTGAGTACCACTTAAAGAAGTTTTGGTGATCCTTGCCTATAACCCTAGTATAAGGATCAGAAGTTGAAGGTCGTCTGCTGCTGGAGAGCAAGTTCAAGGCCAGCCTGGAATACATGAGGCCCTATCTCAGGGAATGAACAACAGGGAAAGGGCTTTTGGATTCTAGGGATGGGGAGGGATATCCTTGGCTCTCTGCCTCTGTCTCTGCAGCAGACTACATAGCAGAGTCCTGTCCTGCCCCTGCAGTGTGGCCTCATGTCCGGGTACTGGTGACAGGTGTCTGTAGTGTTGTGGAGGCAGTAAACCACAGTGAACACAGCCCTTAACCAGTATGTGCACTGGGTTGTGGGTGGCCAGAGTCTTGGGGCTGAGGATCCCAGCCTGCACTCCCTGGAACCCATTGGCCATCATGAGGCCAGAGAGCCTCCAAAAGAGGACTGCACATACACACAGCCCTCTTCTTGAACTCCAATTTGCCTTAATTTTAATTTAACTCCCTTTAATCTTTAATGAAAAGTTGTAAAAGTAAATTATTTCCCCAGGAGAGGCAGCAGCTCCTCAGGAGCTGTTCTCAACTTGAGGGTAATTACACATGTGAGTCTTGAGCAGCCTCCATGCCAGGGAGAGGCATTCTGGTTTATGAAGTAATTAGCTAGCTCAATGATTGTTAAAAACACATGCCATTTGGTGGATGGAGTGTGTGGCACCAGCCCCACAGAGCACAGGCCCTGGCAGGGACTCAGGGACAATAAGCCACTGTCTGGTCCTGATCAGGTCACTGCAGGCTTGTGCTTCAGGGGTTTGGAGCCAACTGCCTGTATTCTCTTGTCCTCCTTCCACCTCCAAACTTGTCTTGGACTTCAGCACTCTGAAAGAGGCAAGGAGCCCCAGAGTATAGATGTGGGATGGTGGCAAACTGACATCATTTCCCCAAGAACCAGTATCACAGCCTCTTTTTGAGTCAGACCCTCAAATCACCCTCACTGTACTTAAAACACCTAGGCCAGTGGGGTTGGCAACTGGGAAGGCCATGGAGGAGTGGATTATAGGAATGTACAGGGAGAGTCTGGGTATGTGTGTGAGGACTATGGTCAGGGTGGGGAGCTACAGGAACAAAATTACAACTACTGGACACCAACACGTCTGGTTGTGAGCTTAAATGGAAAGTTCAGCTACTTGCCTCTTAGCGGTAAAGAAAACCAATGCATTTTGTTGGCTAAGCACCTAGCCATCAGCCCATTGGCTTCAGAGAACATGAACAGTTTGTCCTGGATGATTAGAAATAATGAGATTTCATGCTAAATCTGCTACTGATTACCTCAGAGGACAGCTGGTTGGCGGTGCTGAGTGGGACACCCAGGTGAGCTCTAACATCACCTCTCAGGCTTGTTTTATTTCCTTTTCTGTCTTTTACCTCATCTATGGGGTGATGCTTCTCCTTGACCCATTCCAAAGCCTAACTCCTTCTGGATCAACTCTGGCTGTTCAGTTTAGGTCCATCCCCGCATCTGGAGGGGGCTTGGAGGCTGGAGCACCAACCCCCTGTCTTTCTCTGTCCCCGTCTTTCTCTTCCGTGTTCCTGAAGACAAGCTCTTTATTCCAAAGGTGGTTTTTGTTCCTAAACTATATTTAGCAGTCCCCCATTTTCCAGAGGGAGGTTGTGGGTGAGGCAAGGCTGACAGGCTCAGAGACCTGTTGGGGGTAACTCACACATAGCACAAACCGATGGGAACTGGAGTCTGGCCTGAAAGCATAGACCAGACAAATGAGGTATTGGGGAGACTCCAGGTACTGTGAGCCCTGGAGGATCCTAGGCCACCTTACCTCCCTCACCGCGGAGTGTGCCCTTCTCAGAGCTAGCCACATCCTGGTGTCTATTAAGTTCTGTACTGTGGGTTCCCAGCTCTTTCCTGTCAGGGCTGGCTTGCACCTATATGACATACAGCTAACCTTTCTTGGGCCTTTGCTTTTCCTCACAGCCCGGCTCAGTGTGGATTGGGCATAAAAGGTATCCTGTTTCTTGGATTTGGCAGGCTGGAACACTGTGGACCCTGGTCCCACCAGGGAAGCAGACAGATGCCACCGGGGCTGAGTTGGGGGCCAGTGCTGACAGGGCTTGAGCCATCACCACTCATTTTTGTCATGTTTCCTAAGATGGGCGTCAGGGACAATTTCCTCCTCTCTTCTGCTGTCCCATCATGGAAGGTTGCCTTTCCCCCATTCAGTCTCTAGGAAGGTACAGAAAATTCCTTGTTCCTAGATATCATATACAGGAACATTGTGAGAACTATGTGCCAAGGAAAGAGGGTAGTAGCGGCTGCTTATTAGAGTCACACACTTGGCAGCAAGAGTGAGCCATCCACTGTCTGGTCCTGAGGGCTTCCCAGAACTCAGGACAGGCCTGACTAGATAGGATAGTCAGTTACGCCCATTCAGGCTGGAGTAGGCAGTCCTTCTGGAGAGTCCTGCCTTCTGTGTGTGCTAAGGTGCTGGAAGGAAGAAGCTGTTACTTACAAATGGGCTATAGTCTCTCCCTCATTCTGGGCCCAGGAAGCACCACACTCATGCCAGCTTTCTGGACAGGAAGGAGTCTCTCCTGACATGACAGGGTAGAAGTGGACTGCCAGGTGCAGAGTTGGAGCAGGAAAAGGTTAACAGGCAGGCAGGGAAGGCTGAAGATGGGCCACAGCACTGCCCTGGCTACCCTGACTGCAGAGAAAAGCCGAAAGCATTGTAATGAGCCAGCCACCCTTCGCTGGTTTGCATATAATCATCTCCCCGTTAATGGAAGTAGCCATTGCTGCTACTGTCTCTCTCCCTCACCCCCATTTTATGCAAGAAGCTCCAACTGTACCTGGTTGGGATCAAGAACTAGTTATGAAGACCCTGTGTGTAGTAGAGAAAAGGGTGGGTGGAGGACTGCTGGGTGTCTTCCTCCGTGAGACTCTGTGACCCATGGAGAAACTGAGGCTGGAAACAGAAGTCACCGAGTTGAGTTGCCCTCCAGACTCCTCAGATGCTCTGATGGAAGCTGGGATGGGGCTCCACTGAGTCCTTCTAGAGGGTCCTTTCTGGAGCCTGTATACCAGCTCTAATGTCATTGCCCATAGCCCTGCATAGCATAACCTTGTATGTTCTCACAGAGCCATCAGTGTCGGCATCCACTCCACATCTGCACAGAGGAGAGAATCAAGGCTCAGGCAGGATAGTGGGTGATGGGCCTCAGGCCTTACAGGCAGGGGTAGGCACGCCCAGGTCCCTCAGATCCTCACTTTGGGCTCAGCAGAGGAAGACAGCTCGTGGAAGGAGTGCCTCATCCCTGCACAGCCTGTGGGGCATCAGGGTACCACTATGTACTTATGTGGATTACAGCTAGATCAGTGGCCAGGGACCACCACCCAGTCAGACTCAGGCCAGATGGTCCTGTGCATCCAAAAGTGGAAGAGCTCCCCTCCTGAGTGGCTGCAGCTGGGAGTTCCAGGAGGCAGGCCGCAGGTCCGGGCTCCTCCCAAGTGGACAGCCTCTTTGGGTGACAGCTCTCCTCCTGCCGTGCCTGTCTCTGCCAGACTCTTTCAGGAAAATAGGATCCAGTCATGTCCGTGTGTCCCCAGTGCTCTGGCATGGAACAAGGAGTTGCATGCAAGTCAGTCCGGCTACCTCTGATAGCCTTCCTTCTCTTGCAGATGTGCTGGTCGATGGGCATCCGTGTGACTGTGAGGTGGCAGCCGCCTGCCAGGTCGGTGACCCCGTGCGCTTGGAGGTGCGGCTGACCAACAGGAGTCCCCACAGCGTGGGGCCCTTCGCCCTCACCGTGGTCCCCTTCCAGGACCACCAGAATGGTGTGCACAACTATGATCTGCATGATGTCATCTCCTTTGTGGGGTCCAGCACCTTCTACCTTGACACGGTGAGTGTGAGCTTGGGCACAGTCCTCCGTGTCTAACCCACCGTGGCATCCTATAGAGCACTGCACCCAGGGGTCAGCTCAGCGGTGTCCCTGCCTGCACACCCACAGCTCCTCCCTGCAGGGGTCACAGCAATACACAGAGGAGTCAAGGAACCCTGGGGTTTGGTTCAGACACTTGTCCGCAGACAGACACCACACACACTACTTCCTACATTCCCGCTTCACTAAACCCAGACAGTTCAGGGAAGAAATAGTGACTCCTTTCAAAGCTAGAAATGGGTTCTCAGAGACACGCAACCCCATCTAACGAAACACAGCAGAAAAGCTTCGGATGGAGCAGGGTGCCCCACCCCTCTCGCATTACCAGTGTCAGGTTGCGGTGGGCTCTACAGATCTGATATGATGCCTCTTCCTTTTCCCACTCCAGGTGCAGCCATCAGGCCAGTCAGCCTGCCTTGGGGCCCTCCTCTTCCTCTACACAGGTGACTTCTTCCTCCACATCCGGTTCCATGAAGACTGCAAGAGCAAGGAGCTGCCACCGTCCTGGTTTTGCTTACCCAGTGTGCATGTGCGGGCCCTGGAGGCACAGGCCTGAGCCCCTTCCCCCTGAAGGCTGTGTCCTCCTCCCTCCCGGAAGTTACCCCATTTACTGCCTGCTCCGTTTCTGGCCTATTACCCTGAGTAACCTCAAACCCAGGGCCAGCCTGGGTGGCTCTGCTGTATGGCCAGCACTGCAGAAGATCCTTCCTGCTCTGTCGCCTCCTTTTAGCTTTAAGAAGAAATGCCGAGCCATCCCTTGAATCTCCTGAGGTCTGGCTCACTCCTACAAATGGGACTGACAACCCAAGCAAGGGAAGGGGACAGTGCAGGTGACCAGGGTGAGCAGGCATCGGGGTGTTTCCTGCCTATGTGTTCTGGTCTCCAGGTCTGTGTATTCTTGTTGCTGTGTTCTTCAATAAAGACCTGCCTTGCTTACCTCACATTGTGTTCATTGCAGACGATGGGGTAGTGAGAGAGGGGGATAGAATTAAAACCAAACCCAACCCGACCACACCCTGCCAGGTAAGACATCTGGCTCATGGGTCCCCTGGCTGGCAGGGTAGGCTGCATCTGTCTCTGAGATAGCCAGCAATACTAGGTTACCTCCTTGAACGCAAGTAGGGCTCCAGAGGCCCCGCTTGCTTCCCCATTAGCAGGTGTTCAAATCACCTATGGCTCTGAAATCTTCCTGTCATCCCAAGTTGCCCAGTGGTATGGCTACGGCCTAACCTACCCTGTTTCAGTTTTGATCCCAGTGTTTTGAAAACTGCAGTGAAGATCTAGGGGTGGGGTTGTGGAGCAAGGGGCTGTGGTGGCCTCACTGCCAGACTATGCTCAACTCAGCCTTGCTTTATAAACCCCACTTACCGCAAGGCTCACCCCTGACCAGTTGCCCCACAGCCTAGACCCTATGGAGTCCTGCTGTGTAAGCCTCTGGAGAAGCCCTTGCTTTCTCCTCAGAGGCCTCTGGGTCTAAGCATTCATTTTGCCACATGCCAAGTCCCAAGGCAGACATGGGACACACAGTTTCCTTGGGAGATGAGGGGACATTTTTGGTTTTGGGGGTGTGTCTGGTTAGAGTGAAATTATAGCAGGGAGTAGCTGAGCTGAGTTGCTTCCACAGTGGAACTCTTCTAGAAATAACGTACAACTGTCTACCCACAGAGGAAATGAGAGACAGGAGACACACATGTGCTGGCTCCCAAGTCACCTGGAGATGTCCTGGTGAAGGTGCTCAGGGCCCCACCTGGACAAGTGATATCCCTTAGTTCCCAGAGAATTTTCAGGCTTTGAGGCCCAGCAGGTACCAGCCTTGGGCATCCTGGATGCACAGAAAGTTCGAAGGAATTCTGGAGCTGAAGATGCCAGGTGCCTGCCAGAGACCACTCAACCTATCAGAACAGGCCTCCTAGAGTTCTGAGAAGCAGTCATATGGGGCCTCAGGAGCTCTATGGTTTAGGGCATGGGGTGCTTCCTGGTGGCCTAAAACTCTAGCTTTCAGCTCCATACCCAGAGGATGTGCCTTTTGGCTGCCTACCCATAGCCTCCTGCTGTCACCTAGGGATGGAGGGAGCATCACAACATGCTGTTGTGGGGAGGGGAACATGTGGTACCCTACCAGACACAATCTTCCCTTTAGTCTCAAGTACACTCAGGGGAAATAACCAGAAGGTTGGCCTGTGCCAGCAAGTGGAGACCCAGGAGAAATCCCTTGGCCCTCCTCTCCAAGAGTTCAAAGCAGGGGTGGGCCTAGCTACTCTGGCGGCTTCATAATGCTCTAGCCTCTCTTGTTAATACAGCTACGTCCCTGAAATACACTGTTGAGTGAAGCAGCTTACAGAGTGGGGGGGGGTGGGGTCACAGCCAACTCCACTCAAGTAAGCAGCCCCTCACACTTTGTGCATGTTTCGTCCAAAATACTCCTGAATAAACTCGTTTGACAGGTGGAAGGCTACACACCTACCTTAAGAGTGTCGTCATGCCAAGTTGTACGCGAAGCTCTGCCTGGTGTCAGCATGAGGAGGAAATTTAGTGTTGTTATGCTTTCTTCTAAAAAGTATGTGGTATTGACAGATGCAATACAGACAGAGAGTTCCCACTGCAGGCCTGCACAGGCTGATGTGGACACAGCTCAGCTTGACTTCCGAGAACAAGCATGTTAGAGATTGGTCCCAGTAATTCCAAATACATGTCCTCAGAGGATCTGTTGAATGTCAACACACACAGAGAGGCAACCCTAAGGGCAAGCAAGCCCTCTTGGAAGAGGTAGAGAAATAACCAATGTACCTTGCAAAACCACCCACAAAACTAGTTGTCCTGCGCAGGCTCCTACCCACTGCCCTGGAAAAGGTGATTGAAGTCAAGACAAGGAGACCTGGAGTGCTGAGGATACTTGGAGCCTTCTTGGGAGAAGCCAGGGAGCCAGGGAACCGCTTTGAAATGAGTGCCTCTTGCTGGCATATGTGTGGCTGTTTGTTTGTTTTTTAGCTGTGTTAGTAGGTGGGAATTAATACAAGGCTGGGAGACGCCCTTTTGTTTCTGGCTCTACACTGTTTGTTTTATCCCAGTGCACTCATCAGACACTTCCCCGGGCCTGAGAAGGGAACATGCTAAGTCATATCCACTCACCTGTGTGTCTGAGTGGGTTGCTTGCTCTCACGTTGCCTGTTCTCCTCTGGGCAATAGCTGTCACACTCAAAACACTAGGAAGAACCAGGACCAGAAGATATCTGAGAGTCCAGATTCTACCTCAGCCAATTGTCACCTCTGTGACCCCAGAGGAGTTGCTACTGCCGTTGAGCTTCTACTTTCTTTCTGAGTAGGGATAAAAATGCTAATGCTGTGAGCGCTTTTACATGAATGGCCTATTTGGTTTAATCTCTTCAGTGTTGCTAGCAAGGCTTCAATGCACACCGGGTCCCTCCTCCTCCCCCTCTTATTGCTTTTCTTTTCAATTCCATCTACATGTCCTTCCATGCCTGAAATTCCACCTCCTCCAGGGACACTTAACATTTGTCCTTGCTGGGCTCCATCAGTCCTTTGCATGGGCTCATTTATTCACCAATACACAGCAGAAAGCTCGCCTTTGTGACACAAATGCTCCGATAGAAAAGGGCCAGCATGAGGAAGGTGTGAGCTGTTCCTTCTGGGATTTGAGCACAGGCTAGACCTGACTGGAGACGGCTTCAGAGGATTGAAGCATTGTATGTGGCTGCTGAAACTACCAGCCCAGAAAACAATGGCCATTATGACGTTCCACAAGGCAGCACTAGTCCCGCCAAGCAGAAGTGAGGAGTATGTGGTCATTTGGCCCTGGAGCCATCAAAAAGTGTCTTACATGACTAATATAGATGCTAAGTATAGATCAAAATAGGTTACACGTATAGTGGGTGACCAACCCTGATGAAGCCCTCTGCTTAATTTGGCTAGGAAGGACACCACAAGCAGGTAAATATCATGTAACTGCAGTAAGGTGAGGGTAAAAGGTCTAGAGCTGGGGAGACGATTCAGTGGTTAAAATTCTTGCCACAAAAGCAGCAATATAAGGACCAGAACCCATATAAATGCCTGGCATTTGCCCACACAGTGGATGATCAGCTCTGATGAAGCCCTCTGCTGAATTTAGCTAGTAGAGATTCTGTGGGAAGAAATAGGAAACCAAAATTATTAAAACACAAAATTCCACAGAGAATACAAACACCGTCACCAAAAGTCAACAACATAAGGACCACAAATCAACATACACATTACAATAACATCTTTAAATATCAATTGTCTCAATTTTCCAGTAAAAAAAAAAAAAAATCTCAGATTGACTGAATGGATCAAGAAAAAAACTTCTTCTATTCATTTGGCTACAAGAAAACTGTTAGTTTTAAAGATAGGTACACCATCTTAGACTAAAAGGACGGACAGAAGTGCTCCAATCAAATGGGACTGGGAAGCAAGCAGGCTTTGTTAACCTAATATCTGACAAAAATAGTCTTCAAATTAAAACAAATCAGAAGACACAGAGGGGCATTACTATTCTAAACATATGCACCAAACACTCTGGGGCCACCTAATTTCATAAAAAAAATTTATTACTGGATTTAAAGACAGAGATTAACATCTACCCATTAACAGTTTAATGCAATTTCAATACTGCATTTTCTCAATACATATCTTTTATACAAAAAATAAACAGAAAATCCAGAATTAACTGGCATCATACATCAAATGGATTAACAGATATCTACAGAATATTCCACAAAAACACCAAAGAATACATATTCTACTCAGTAGCACAGAAGCATCTTTAAAATAGATCATAAAATCAGATCCAACACAAATCTTTACAAATTTAAGAAGATTGAAATAACTCCTTGTATTTTATCTGACTACAATAAAATAAAGCTTAAAATTGATGGCAAACAAATTCATGGAAATTAGACAACTAATTACTGAATGATGAATGGGTTAGAGAAAAAAAAAAGCCAAAAAAGAAATTTTAAAGATTCCTGGAACTAAATGAAAAAACAAAACACAACAAAACCTCTGGGACACATTGGAGGCAGTCCTATAAGAGATAGTTATAGCACTAAGTGTCTAATATAAAAAAAATCAGAAATAGCATGAATATTTTGCTTAATGATGCAACTCAAAAAATTATAAAAATAAGAAATAAAATCCAAAGCCATGTGACAGCAATAAATAAAAAATCAGAGCAGAAACCAATAAAATTGAAACAAAGAAAAAATAGAAAGAATCAACTAATCTAAGAGCTCATTCTTTGAGAAGATAAACAAGACTGACAGACTCTTGGCCTAACTAACCAAAAGAAAGAAAGGAAGACAGGATCTAAATTAACAAATCAGAAATGAACAGGGAGACATGGCAACAGACACTAAAGAAATTCAGAATAACTCAGGGGAATGCTTTCAAAAGCTGACCCATGAAGCTGCAAAACTTAAAAGAAATTGATGAATTTCTAGATTTAGCAAAAACACCAAAATTCAACCAAGAAGAAACCAACAACCTAAACAGATTCATAACAAATGAGGAAGTTGAAATAGTAATAAAAAGCTTTCTAGTTAAAAAAAAAAAAGTCCAGGGTTAGATGGAGTCACAGGAGAATTCTACCAGAAATTCAGAGAAGAGCTTCAGTCATTCTTTTTAAACTATTAAAAGAACAGAAACAGAAGGAACACTCCCAAACTCCTACAAAGCCACTATCCTCACTCTTATACCTAAACAAGGTAAAGATTTAACAAAAGCAAAACAAAGAAAAAAGGAAGGAAGGAAGGAAGGAAGGAAGGAAGGAAGGAAGGAAGGAAGGAAGGAAGGAAGGAAAAGAAAAGATAGGAGGGAGGATGGGAGGGAGACAGAAAGAAAGAGGGAAGGAGAGGGAAGGAAAGAAGAGAAAGGGAAAGAGGGAGAGACAGAGAGGGAGGGAGG